TACATATTTTCTCATATAACAGTCATTTGTACAATTAAATAATGAAGAAATAACTTGGACAGTAAAAAAAATGTGTTGCATACACCGAGTCAATATGGGTCAGACTCCAAAATCTGAAAATGCTAAATGCTGTTGTTTATACAGTGTGTGTGTGTGTGTGTGTGTGTGTGTGTGTAGTGCCACTAATGTCAATAGTCAACTATTAAGTGATAGACGGCTCACATCTCCACACAATCAGATGATGTTGATTCTATGAACCTTGTGGCTTTATACAGTCACCAAACCCTCTCTGATGCTTTCACACTGACAGTAACATGCTCTTCCGCTGTCTCTGAACAAGAATGCATGTGTAATGTAGCAGCTAATAAAGTGCAACTGCGTCTACATCATTTATTTTTCACCTAAATTGAAAAATATTACAGGTACTTTACTGAATTTTGAAGGGAGCAAGAGAACAGGCATTGTGAAAAGCAGGTCAACAGGGTAAATATGTGAACATCTAAATAGTTTAGGGTTTGAAATAAAAAAGATAAACACATGCAATGTTTCATCAGAGGACAAATGTGCAGACAGGTCTGTATCATGTTAATGCATGTAAGTTTACGTAAGTGTATTCTCTTGCTTATGTATTATAAATGCTATATGTTTAGTGTCTAACAAAACACCAATAAAAACACAACATCAGTAAAATATTCATAATGAATACTTTACCACTACATAATTCAGTAATAGCAGTGCAACATATAATAACATGGCAATCATTTCAAATCTTGAATAAACTCACTTTAAAAACATTCACTGGGGGTCATTTACATGATGTGAGATGTTTTTAAGATAAAAAAAAAAAAAAGTTACAAAGAGAGTGAGATGAGCACTTATTTCTATCATTTTATACAAATTGAAAGCAACTTGTAATGGGATGTTGAAGACAGTCGAGCCGAACCTCTAAACAAATGTGTTCTCAACTGGTGGGTCGTGACCCACAAATGGGTCTGTTCTGATGGAGCCATGAAAGAGCAGAGGCTAGGAGAGAGCGGAAGTCAGTAGCATGTGGTTTCTCAAGGTGGATGCTGAAGTCAGCAAAAAAAAAAAAAAAAGTTCCAGAGGGCTGCCATCAGCATATCCAGTTCTTCTAGAAAGTCGCCTAGCCGGCCTGAAGGGCGATAAATAACTACAATGTGGATTTTTACAGGGAGTGTGACTGTAAAGGCATGTAATTCAAAGGAAGTATTGTTAAAGTTATAGGAGCATGTGAGGTATTTCCAGCTTTTGGGAAATGAGGAGACCAGTACCCCCACCTCTCCCAAACTGACGGGGGGTCTGGGTGAAAGAGAAGTTGTTGGAAAGAGCAGCAGGGGTAGCTGTGTCTTCAGGCTTAATCCAGGTCTCAGTCAGGCCTAAGAGACTCAGAGTAGACTGAGTGGCAAAGGCTGGTATACTGACAGTTCCAGAGGCCAGAGAAAAAGAAAGGGGTGCAATAGAAGAGTTAGTGAGTGACCAAGTATGGTGACCCATACTCGGAATTAGTGCTCTGCATTTATCCCATCCAAAGTGCACACACACACCATGAACACACACCCGGAGCAGTGGGCAGTACATAGAGCGCTGTACATTCACTCCCCCCACCTACAATCCCTGCCAGTACGAGACTCGAACCCGCAACTTTTGGGGTACAAGTCCGACTCTCTAACCATTAGGCCACGACTTCCCCAACGTTGTGGATGGGACGCAGGTTAGCATGATTGCACTGTCTCCTGCGTGTTGTGTGAGAGCGTTTCCACTGAGAGACAATAGGAATAGGAAGAGTATTTTTGTAGATTCTAATTACAGCTAACGGCAAACAACATGCACAATCACCATAAAGCTTTTCAATAAAATAAGCAGTAAATGAATTAATCCTCTCTATACTAGCAGAGATTATAAATCAGTTTAAACTGGTTTTAGAGGAGTTTGGCACTTTTCAGCTGTTAAGACCGTGAAACAGTAGGGTTGAAATGAGATTAGGCCGGTTTAAGCAGGTTTTTATAGCAGGGCATGTATGACAGCTCCTGTCCTGTGCATAGTGGGAGCCACACAGAGAGTAATTAGGGTGACCAGATGTCTCGATTTATCTACGACATGCAGTCCCAGTTTCAGAAGATGTGTCCCTCAGTGAATTCTCAATGTGTTATTGTTTGTAGTTAGGGATGACGATGCAATCTGATCAATCAATGCAAACTGATTTGCCAATATAGAACATCTTTTAGAAAATCAGTTTTGGCAACCAGCTTGACCTTCTCAAGTTCGCTAGCGAGGTACGCTAGAGAGATGCACATACGAAAAAGTTTTCTCAATGACAAAGAAAAGGTGTTTTGCTGTCACTTTAAATGTTCATTTTCACAAAATATCTTTATTATTGTGCTGGCTAAAATTCGTCAGCAGTTGTATTTATTTCTAAAGAAAGATTTACATAATGATTATGTATTACATTGTTCTCAATCAGTTCTGAAAAAATAGGGAAATTATATTTTTAGATTTATTTAGCACTCAACCTCATTCCATCCTTAAACGGGAGGATAACATATTTTTTTCCAAATAAATAAATGACAAAAAGCACTATAAAAGTATTGCAGATTACTCATGCTGCAGTTGAAGCTTTTGAACACAGTTACATCTCATTCAAAAGAAATGATGTTACAATCAGTCATGAGACTCATGAGAGTCAATGGCATTTCCCATCATTCTTCAGGCATTCATGTTTGAATGTGTGGAGGGTTTGAGCGTCACATGCTTTGGGCCTTTTTTTTTTTTTTAAATACAAAACAATCGTTTGGCCTTGGAAGACTTGTAATTTCTTAATTAATTGTACTTTCTGCCTGTTACATGTTTCATATTGTTTTAACGTTGTAATATACTGACAAATAATTAGGTTTAGAACTAGCGTCTGGTTAGGTGCTTAAATGTAACTAAAATTACGGTGGCTGGTTAAACTGAAAATCCTATCTCATTCTCATGACCTTCATGCCAGTCTTATGATGCTAAAGCTTCTCATGGAAAGAAAAAAGATCAAGTGTGTTGTTAAATCTTCCACTGTAAACTCACATGTAAATGTCACAATCTACAGAAACAATATGTTTGTCATTATTTATTTTGTTATTTGCATTCTCAGTTGATTCTGCTCAAAATGTGGGGAAATCTGAATAAAACAGGAGAGAAGTTGAAACACTATTAAACTAAAGATATGACATCAAATATGATATGCACCAACTACTACATTGTACAACATTGTTCCTCTTATTTTGATGAAATAAACAACATAATATGAAACAAATGTTATACCATCATTATTTCAGTCAATGGTGGCTGGTAATATTCCACAAAAATCCACCCCCTGTGTATCCTATAGTTTAAGACTTATAAATATCAGAAAATTGGATAAACCTGTACAGCAGCGTCCAAAAGTCTGAGAACACTATTGAAAATGCAATTAAAAAACAAAAAACAAAAAAGCTGTCATCATATATTATATAACTGGCATAACAATTTACATTAAAAAGTAAAAAAGAAAAAAAAGTACATACATTTCTTCAGCATAAAATCTGCCCATGTTCATCTGACATGATTGAGAATGTTCTAAAAACAACTTGTGTGCTTTAAAAAAAAAAAAAAATCTGATGTTTTCATTAGCAACGTAGATATAAATATTTTTTAATATAGTAGTATCGTATTGTAGTAAAAAAAAGATTCTCAGATTTTGGTCTCAAATGTTTTTGACCCAATTGTACACCTCGCTTTGATGTGTGAAGAAACCCAGAACAAGGGGTAGAAAAATAGTGAAATAACACTTGTTTTTGGATTGCTTTTGCCAGAAATACAAAGCACATAACAGAAAAACAAGGAATGTTAAGATGGGACAGAAGAGAAACCCAGGAGTATGATGGCAGTAACTGACCATTAGCTACATTTGCTCTGCAGACATTTTGGTTGAAATCAGCTGCGAGTCTCAACAATTCGTGCCGGGTGACTCCAATACACTTAGATGTAACATTATCCTTCAGGGTCTTTCAAACCGACTCACTTTCATAAAGCTTAAAGCAAGAGACGTCGAAAGACTCAAGTTTCAAGATTTCCTTAGAATCCCGTTTGAGCTCGTATATTCCACAAAGTTGCAACAGAAATGACTTGCAGATGTTTAACACACCACAAAGTTGAAGTGTTTCAAACACCTGTAATAAACACAGCTGAAGTCCCCAGCTTTGCCTGATGAGATATCCAACTTTTTGTCAGAGGAGTGAATCAGCTGTCCGTGTTTGATTCAGCGCTCTGAAAGAACTCTCACTTTCAGTCCACAAACTGAGCTCAAATAACACAAAGAAATAACTGCACTTCAAAACAATAACCAACGATAAACAGATTATAAAAGCATATAAAACACAAAGAGACGACAAGAAATAACAGTCACAGAAGCAGTTCAACTGCTAGCTGCCCCGGATAATCACACACATGCAAGTATATCCGTGCACACACACACACACACACACACACTCAAGCACACACACACACAAAAGCACACACTCACACACACACACGCACACACACACACAAACATGCACACACACACTCTCACACACACACACACACACCGTACATGCTCAAG